GATCGTTGGGGGTAGGTAAACGGCCTAGACTCCCTTGGGAGCTGGAAGAGCAGCAGCTTTCTCCTTCTGCCCCAAGAGCCTCCGAGGGCAGGGTCTCTCACCCCACCTCCCGTCCATAAGAGCTGTTTCCAGCTCTGAAGGCCTAGCCAGCCCAACTGGGAGGGAGGCACTTCGGCAGCATCGACCCCTTCCCACATGCTTGGCAGGAGGATGAGCATGTTGGGGAGGGTTAGGGAAGGACTGGGTCTAAGTTTAGAGTTTGGTGGTGAGTGTGATGCGAGAAACTTAGGATTTTTGCTAGGGTTGGGATTGGGCCTGGGTCAAGCTGAGTGAGTGGGCTCTGTGGACATGATCAGGAGGGGGGCAGGACATATTCATTGTGGACTAGCACGTTCCCAGCTGCTCGCTCTCCTCTAGATGGGAACCAGGAACCTGGCAGAGCAGATCTCTGATTGTGCCCAATCACTCCACTTCCTCAGCCTGGGACCTTAGACACTCTGACCTCTGAGTCCGGCATCTTTCCCATGAGGCAGCTGATTTGGGGGAGATTGGTTGGGGAGGGCTGCAATATTGTGTAGTTCACAGCGGTGACATCCACCAAACTGTCTGTGCAACCAGAGCCCCCAGGAGTTGTGCAGCGCGCAGCCTGTATGGCCATACCCAGCAGCTCTGGGGCTGGGGGCTGTAAAAGACAAAGGAGCCACGGTGAGAAGTCATATCTGTGCAAAAGCCATGGACACCAAACCTACCTCCTCATCTCCCCCAGCACCCACACCCACTTGACCTTACACACCGGGCTCAAGGCAGAAGCAGTTTTAGGTGACAGCTCTTGTCCCTGCGCCAACAAGTTCCAGCTAGTCTGGGCCTTGGTTTACCTGCCTGTAACACAGAGCTTGTCTTTCTTCCAGAGCTGGTCCTTACTGCCTGCCGTGGGGCTCTGCCGCTTTGCCACCCTGGCACTGGCCCTGCTGGTGTTGCTGGAGTCTCTGGCCCAGGTGGACACCCAGAAGATGACAAGATCCCAGCGTGGGGTCCACCCTAGAGCCTGCTACTCTATCTGCTTCCTCCCACTGCCTGCACCCTTTCTTAGCCACTGTCTTCAGTCCCCGCAGGTGGGAGTAGGCTGCCCTCTCAGCCCAGCTGGAGGCTCCTTGGCCAGGGACTCCAAGTTCTCAGCGGGGAGGAGCAGGGGAGGTGACAGGAACAGAATTCTAAGTGTTTAGGATAGCCCCTGGCCACAGCTGCCACCCCAAACTCCACTTAGGACTCAGGAGTCCCCAGTAGGGGCTGAGCTCTAGCTCCCTGGAGCTCAGACTTCAGAGACCCTGTGGAGGTGTGGCTGTAGGTGTGGGTGTATGTCCATCATCTGGGGATGATGGTGTGTGAGTGGGGAGTAGTGTCAAGATATGGGTGTATGGCCAGGGTCTCAGGATGACAGGGAAGGTTCTTAATAGGCCCAAATCCAAGGTCTCTAACTGACCACAGTTAGCTTTGGGAGGGACTTTACAGACCATCTCACTGGGCTCATGGGAGAGTGGGGCCTGGGCCAGAGATATCCCGGGGTATCCCTGCCTTTTGGGGGAGGGAGGAGCTTGTGGGGATGGGGAGAGTGACTCCTGGACACACGGCTTCTGTCTACAGACCTGGGCTGTTTAAAGATCTGCTCTGCACGCCACTTATACCTTTGTTTATAGGCCTGCACTGCTTCCCATAGCCTTTTGGGTCTTAGTCCTGGGCCAGTCCCATCATCCTCAGCCCCCACCTAAGGGCCCTGGCCCTGGGTTCTAATGTTGACCACACCACCAGTTTGTGATTTTGGCCAGTCTCTTCCCTGTCCTCCACAGAAAATCCTTCCAGCTTTAACTTTCTGCCCTTGTTCCACACTGCCCTTGAGAGCCAAGGGGCCTTTTAAAATGATTTATTTGATTTTCCTTCCCCCTGTCCCACTATCACCATACATATACATACATACCAGGGTGAACTGCACTGGGCTGCCTCAACTCCCGGCAGGGCTGGCACCGAGGCCTGGGCCTGGAGGGGAAGGTACTTGGCGAGGCTTGACACTGACCACGCCATGGGACAAGTGGATGAGCTGGGAGTGGCAGGGGAAGGCCGGAAGGGGGGAGCAGACAGCATGCTTTATAATTAAACTCAAATCAAAAAATAGAAACAGCATCAAGTGTGCAGAGACCAGTGGCTGGAAGCCGGCAGCACAAACTGCTTGTCAGAGAAGATCACAGACTGCACTGGATACCCCCACAGGTGGGTGAGTGCCCCTAATTCAGAGGGGTCGCTAAGCCTGCTGGGTAATGAGGGCCAGGGCACCTGTGCCTGTGTTGGGTCGGGGTGGGATTTGGGTGGGGTGAGGGACCCACTGGGTCAGAGATAGTAGCGCAGACAAAGTATAGTAGAGTCAGAAAGACCTGGGCTTGAATCCTGGCTCCCACACCTGTTGGCTGTGTGACCTTGGGAGTACTGCTTAACCACACTGAGCCTCAGTTTCCTCATCTGTAAAATGGGGATGATAATATTATGTGTTTCATAAGGGCATTGTGAGGATTCAATGAGAAAATGTAAGCACCTATTTCTGTCTGGAACATAGTACATCCTTAAAAAGTGGCGAATAATTATTGCTGGACAGAGGAAGAAACATCAAGAAACACAAAGAGCTAGGGACCAAACCTCACCACCCCCTGGAGGAGTTGTCATCTACCTAGGATAGGGCTGAAACTAGAAAGGGTAAGAGTGATGACACATAGTGAAATGCACCATTTATTGGGCATCTACCATGAGGCTGGCCCTGTGGGAGGTGCTTTATAGTTATTACTTCGTGGAATTCTCATAGCAGCCTCACTGAAGAAACTGACTCAGAGAAAATCACATGGATATGCTTCCTGGGCCTGAGAATTCAGCCCAGGCCTGCCCTGGCCAAGACCTGTAGGCCCTGTGGAGACAGCTCCTCCCCACTGGCAGCCGCCTGCACGTCTCGCAGGCTTCCTTCTCTACAGGCCTCCCGTGTCCTGCCCTGAGACCTCCAGCCCCACCTGGCCTGTGCTCCCCCACCCCCGGGGGAGGAAGAAGAGGCGGCAAAGTGGGTGGGCAGGAGGGAAGACCAGGGGAACGTCTCCAGGAGCTGTGGCCGAGGTGGAGAACAGCTGCCCTGGCGCCTCCGTCTGGGCTGTGGGCCTGCAGAGCAGTGTTCTGGGAGGCTGCAGAGGAGGCCGGGCTTCCCGGGGGAAGGTGGAAGGCAGAGGCAAACAGGGGGAGCAACACAGAGAGGAGAGATACAAAGGTGGAAAACAAGTGTGTGAATGTGTAAACGGCAGCAGCACAGAGGCAGAGCAGGAAAACCACTGCCCACAAAGAAAGCTGCTCAGTCGAAGTGGGGAGAAGCAGGAAGGAAATGAGGTGGAGCCTGGGAAGAGAACGAGGGCTCCAGTGAGTGGGAGAGGAGCCGGGCGGGCCCTGCCACTGCTGGACACTGGGCCCATGTTTCCTCTGGCTGTGAACGAGACGTGGAAGGAAGTGTCAGGCAGGGTCCTCCGAATCCTAGGTCTGGGGGTGGCACAAGCCAGGAGAGCTGCCATGGCCACTGACTCCCCCTCTTTCGGTGTGCCTGGGGCTGGCAGCACAAGTCCCTGGGTGGGCACTAGGCCTGACTGGTGGCGAGGTGGGCCGGGTCCCCAGGGGGATAAGAGCAGACGGGTGGAGGTATGCCATGGACATCAGGAGTAGCTCTAAGTCCAGGTCTAGGTCCCTTGGAGGCTGAGGCATGCTCTGTGGCCTACCAGCCCCCAATGACGGCCCCTCTGGAGTCTCCAGGGGTAGCAGAGTCCAGTTCCGTCTTTGCTAGAGCCTGGTTACCTGCTCCTGGCACAGCTGGGCTGCGAGGCACCCACTGGCCACCGGGGGGCGGCCTTACCCCACGCCAAGCTCCACAGGCCTGACTCCCGCGCCTGCCGGGCTTCCCAAGGCCCCATCTGGTCCCGCCTGAGGCTGATGGAGCTCCCACCGGGTGGCTCCAGTCCAGTGTGGCTGTGGGCTTCCCTGGGGCCTTCCCCTGCCCCACCCCACTACACTGCCCTCTGCCCTGCAGTTAACTGCACACCCTGACACTCGCCTCCTGTTCTCGGGTCAGACCTCCCCAGAGAATCCTGAAAGTCAGGCAACACTGGAGTCTTTAGCAATGGGAAGATAAACTGTGGTCCAGACAGGAGTGAAGACTGAGGCACAGAATGAGTCATGTCAGAGTCCCAGGGGGGCCGGGCTGTCCTGCCTCCTCTAAAGTTCTCTTCCCGCCACTTCGAGTAGCCTCCCATCTTTATGGAGGTGGGGGGGGTAACAAGGCCAAGAGTCTTCAATCCCAAAGGGATGCCAGAGGAGCCTGGAGGGACAGTTACTTCGGTCCACAGGCCTAGGTCTGCTCTCAGGCCCCAGCCCCATGGGTTCCCAGGTCAGGATCTGGAATTCTAACCGCTTCACAGTGTTTGTGTTCTGGACGGAACCTACCCAAGCCCTATTCTGCTCACAAGCTGAGTCCTGCCCCTGCACCCACTGCCCCCATTCTTAGACCCAGACCATGCCCTAGGTAGGTGGCAGGCCATTAGCCTGCCCTGAGAGGTCACAGTTAGGGATGAGGGGGAGAGCTGGGTCTTCGCTTCCGCCCTGCCCACCAGCCACCTGCTGGGTGAGCCTGGCCAAGCCCAGGACTTCCTGGGTGCCTGCTTCTCTTTCTGGTCCTGGCACCACCTACGAAAGAAAAAAGATGTTCTTCCCAGTGTGCACCTTCCCTAGTTACTGGTTGAAGGGATCAGGGGGAGTTAGCCAAGACAGGCCCTCCTTCCCATCATGCCAACAGGCCCATGTTCTGGTGCCGCTGACAACCCAGCTCTGCACGGTCCCAGACTCCCTCAGCCAGCTGACGCCTGACACAACCCACCCCACCTGGGAGAGGCCTGACGTACAGCGCTGGCCTGAGTCATGGGGGTAAGGAGAAAAACCTGGGGCTTGTAGGCAGCAATGTGGCTCAGCAATGCCAGGGTCCCCATGGGTTAGTGACCGCTCTCTGGAGTCCCCAAAGATGGTAACTGAGAGGTTCGGGGATGGAACTGAAGGAGCACAGAACTAGATTGAAATCCCAGCCTTGCTTCTCATCAACTGTATGGCTTTGGATGTCACTAAAAAAATCTGAGTGCCAGCTTCCCTTGGGTAAAATAGGATCATATCACAAGTGAGGCATCAGGGGTAAAAAAGGCATTAGCTCATTCAGGGTAAAAATGCTAACAAATGTTAGTGCACAGCCTGGCCTCTCAATCTGCTTTTGAGCCCCAGAAGCGGGAGGGGAAGGGGATCTGAGGACCAGCCCTGGAAGTAGCAGGGGAGGGGGTTTGGGGTGAGCTGCCTAGGTTGGGGGCCCTTCCTGGGTGCCCTCAGAGAGCCACAGCCATCTGGGGTTTCCATCCCTACAAAGTCCCAGCTCACCAGCGACTTAAGGGGTGAGGTCGGCCCTGACCAGTGACACAAATAAGGAACTCCAAGGGCCCCCTGGCCAAAGCTTCATACATCTGCAACCTTAGGAGAGGGCAGGTCTGCCCAGCATCACAGCAGTGACAGGATTGATTCCCTTGTTCCCTGGGGAAAGAGTCTAGGCCTCAGCCCCAGCTGGTTAATAACCTCATCTGAAATAGCTGAGGCCCTTCCTGCAGCATCCCAGTGGCACCGGGGCCTCCCCATCAGCTGCATCCCCCTTGGGAGCCTGCCTCCAGCCTCTGCGGTATCCACTCTGTTCCAGGATGGATTCACTGCAGAAGGAGGACCTACGAAGGCCCAAGATCCACGGGGCCGCCCGGACGTCCCCACACCAGCCACCCACACTGGCTTCGCTGCAGCGCTTGCTGTTGGTCCGTCGGGCTGCCACGCTGAATCACATCAACGAGGTCTGGCCCAACCTCTTCCTGGGAGATGCGTGAGTAAGACCCATGTGAGGAGTGGAGGTGGCAGAAGGGTGTGAGGTCCGCACAGCGGTAGGAGTGTGAGCCTCTCCCAGAGCCCTCCAGGGGCAGAGGTGGCACCCTCTGCCTCCTACCATCTCTGTTCCTATTTTTCTTTCCTTTTATATTATTGTTGCTTTTAACTGTGGAAACAGAACACATATAAGAAAAGTTCATAGAACACATACGAACAGCTTCATCCCCCAAGTGAAGAAATAGGACTTGACCTGTGCCCAGAAGCCCCAGCGGAATCCTTCTCACCGTAATTTTTCCTTTTCTCTGTAGATAACTACTCTCTAAGCATTGAATTAATTACTTCCTTGTTGCCTGAGCCCACAGGTTCGAGACCTGCCTGGGCAACTTGGTGAGACCTCATCTCTACAATAAATTAAAAAATTAGCCGGGTGTGGTAGCGCGTGCCTGTAGTTCCAGCTACTCGGAAGGCTGAGGCGGAAGGATCGCTGGAGCCCAGCAGGTCGAGGCTGCGGTGGCCGGGAGCGGCCACTGAACTCCAGTCTGGGCGACAGAGACTCCAACTCAAAAAAAAAAAAATTACTTCCTTGTTTTGCTTTGAAGTTTTACCACTTATGTGCCTAAACAATGTGGTTAGTTTTGCCTGTCATTTAAAATTATATTAATGAAATTATATCGTGCATGTTTTGGGCCTGGCATTATTTGCTCAACATTATGAGTCACCCATGTTATTATATATATCTGCAGTTCACTCATTTTTCACTGCTATATAATATTCAGTTGTATGATTTCACCACAGTTTATCCATTGTATTAAATATGGACATTTGAATTGTTTCCACTGTTTGGCTATTATGAACAGTGATCCTAGAAATATTTTAGTACATGTATGTTGAGAAAACATATACAAGTTTCTCTAGTGTTTTGTGTGTGTGTGTGTGTGTGTGTGTGTGTGTGTATGAGGGAGTAGAATTGTAATTTTCCTTAAATTTTAGGAAATATGGATTAATTTGTATACATTTTAGACATTTCCCTTAATACTCACAAAATATGGATCGCTATCTTGTTAACAAGGACTAATATGCTATTTTTCGCCCACACAGACAATAAAATCCTTGTAGACTTTTAAAAATATATACATATAACATGCTTTTTCATTATTCTTTTTTTCTTACAAAATGCTATCGCTTTATAAAACCATTTTGTAATCTGCTTTCTGTAGAAAGCTTTTTATATATATATATAATTACTTAAATTATATATGTATAATTATTTTTTTTTCCAGAGATGTGATCTCACTACGTTGTCCAGGCTGGTCTTGAACTCCTGGGCTCAAGCAATCCTCCCTCCTTAGTCTCTCTTTTTTTTTGAGTTGGAGTCTCACTCTGTCACCCAGATTGGAGTGCAGTGGCCGCTTCCGGCCACCGCAGCCTCGACCTGCTGGGCTCCGGCGATCCTTCCGCCTCAGCCTTCCGAGTAGCTGGAACTACAGGCGCGTGCTACCACACTTGGCTAATTTTTTGGATTTATTGTAGAGATGAGGTCTCACCAAGTTGCCCAGGCGGGTCTCGAACCCACGGGCTCAGGCAATCCACTCACCTCAGCCTCCCAAGGCACGGGATTACAGGCTGAGCCACTGACCCCGGCTCTCAGTCTCTTGAGTAGCTGGGACTATGGGTGTATGCCACTGTGCCCAGCTTCACACTACACGTTTTAAAAACTTTTTTTGTATCCTCCATTTTTCAGAGGTTCTCGGTATAGCATGAACATCTTTCCTTGTTTACCTGTATCTATCACATTTTCATGGCTGCATAGTATTTCATCATTTAGATATACCATACTTGACCTCCTATTATAGCATATTTAGTGGGTTCCCCCCCCAAGTTTTTGCTATCTTAAATATCACTAGATTCAGTTTACATATGTCTCTGGGCACATTTTAGATACTTCCTCTAATTAAGTTCCTAGAAGGAGAATTTCTGGGGCAAAGCATACATACATTGTTAAGGCTTTTGATGCATTTGGACAAATCACATTCTAGAAAAGTTGGCCCGAGTGAAAAGGAGCCTGAAACTCCAAGCGGAAGAGCCCTTCATCCTGGCCGGTTTGCTGGCTCTTGTCCCTATCCTCTTGGCAGGGGGAGGCATGTTCCAACCCAGCCAGAGCTGCCCCAGTGAGATCTACCCTGCCCTCCTAACTCCCCTCATGCCCTCCTCTCCAGGTATGCAGCCCGGGACAAGAGCAAGCTGATTCAACTGGGCATCACCCACGTTGTGAATGCCGCTGCAGGCAAGTTTCAGGTGGACACAGGTGCCAAGTTCTACCGTGGAATGCCCTTGGAGTACTACGGCATCGAGGCTGATGACAACCCCTTCTTCGATCTTAGTGTCTACTTTCTGCCTGTTGCTCGCTTCATCCGAGCGGCCCTCAGTGCTCCCCAAGGTGAGCTTCTGGGGAAGGCACTAGCAGGGGGCTTCCCTTTTGTTTCTAGTAGCACTAATGGGTGGGAGTCTAGAGTCACAAACCCTTTCAGCAACTCTCCCACCCCGGGGGGCAGATAGCTACTACCATTTAGTGAGGAAACCAGCAGTCACCGAGAACTAAGATCCACTGTGGTCATCAGCATCACCATGTCCCTCTGTAAGAGGTCAGGCATTAGGCAGAAGATAAAGGACTTGGCAAAGGCTCTGAGCAGGCTCTTCTAAGATGAGGACTTGCCATAGGGCTGCAGGGGCAGGAGGGAGGGTAGTACTGGGAGGAAAGGAAGTGGGTGGATCTGATGCAAATCCAGGGGGCTCAGGAGTTCAGTAAACCCTCTTCCCCTGGCCCTCAGTTGCAAATGAAGCCAGAAGCACCTGGGCCAGAAGAAGGGAATTCCTGCCTTCCCTTCCCTTACTAAGCCCTGCCACACACTTGCTATGTGACTCTGAGCCAGTCTGTCTCTCCCTCTCTGCCTCAGCTGCCCCACTTGACAGTGAGGACAAGTGTCAGTATTCCAGGATGCTGTGAAGGATGGCCAGAGGTGTCTCTTCTTCCCAGAGGGGTTGGAAATTTGAGGGCAGGTTGCTGATGCTAGGTGGGGTCTCCCCGCAGGCCGCGTGCTGGTACACTGCGCCATGGGGGTGAGCCGCTCCGCCACACTTGTCCTGGCCTTCCTCATGATCTACGAGAACATGACTCTGGTAGAAGCCATCCAGATGGTGCAGGCCCACCGCAATATCTGCCCCAACTCAGGCTTCCTCAGGCAGCTCCAGGTCCTGGACAACCGACTGGGGAGGGAGCTGGGGCGGCTCTGACCTGGCAGGCAGCCAGGAGCCTGGCCCTCCATCCAACATGTCCGATCCAATCAGCCTGACCCTGGAGATGGCAGCCTCTGCTATCTCCAGCCCCGGAGATGTAACCAGCAAGTAGGGGCTTGGCTGAGGCAGAGGCAGAAATAGCTGGGTGGTGACCTTTAACACGTGGATTTCCCTGACCCGATCCAGAGATTCTTTATGCAAAAGTGAATTCAGTCGGTCTCTATAATAAAAGGTTCATCGTAATAAAGGCTTTCGGTCTTTTGATGGTTTGTGAAGCAATGGCTTGCTCTCAGGATGGCCACGATGTTCCAGATGGCTTGCCAACTCTGATTCAGTGTGATGGCAGTCTACGGGAGGAGTCTGAGTCCATGGCAAATGCTTAATGAGGAAGGAGGACAGGTGGGGATTGATGAGTGATATCTGCCCTGGGTTCAAGAGAGAGGAGCCAGGGTGCCAGTACCAGGATCAGATGACCTCTTCCTCATCCTGTCCTCCTCATCCTGTCCTCATGTCCTCACCCAGGAGTCAGGCTTTCTGATAAAGATCCAAATTCAGTGTGTCACCATCCTTTCCATGCCCATCCTACCTAAAGCCAACTATCAAAACTTGCAATTCAGGCCGGGTACAGTGGCTCATGCCTGTAATTGCAGCACTTTGGGAAGCTGAGGAAGGAGAATCGCTCAAGTCTAGGAGTTTGAGACCGCCTGGGTAACATGAAGAAACCCTGTCTCTACAAATAATTTTTTTAAGCATTAGTCAGGCGTGATGCCATGTGGCTGTAGTCCCAGCTACTCAAGAGGGTAACACAGGAGGACTCCTTGAGCCCAGTAGTTCGAGGCGGCAGTGAGCTATGATCATACCACTGTACTTCAGCTTGGGAGACAGAGTGAGACCCTGTCTCTTAAAAAACTGAAACCAAGCCGGGCTCGGTGGCTCAGCCTGTAATCCCACACTTTGGGAGGCTGAGGTGAGTGGATTGCCTGAGCCCGCGGGTTCAAGACCCGCCTGGGCAACTTGGTGAGACCTCATCTCTACAATAAATCAAAAAATTAGCCAGGCATGGTAGCACGCACCTGTAGTTCCAGCTACTTGGAAGACTGAAGCAGAAGGATCGCCAGAGTCTGGTAGGTCGAGGCTGCGGTGGCCGGGAGCGGCCACTGCATTCCAGTCTGGGCGACTGAGTGAGATTCCAACTCAAAAAAAACCCTGAAACCGAACAAACAAAATCCACAGTGCACACATAACATCTCTTGAAACCAGTTTTTTCACTTATACTCTATTTTCAAAAGGACTGCTTAAAATTAGACATCTAACAAACAGAGGCAGTACACAGAGAAGACGGGGGTTGGGGAGGAGATGCACCAGAAATTCTAGGCCAAAGATGGTTACATAATGGAAATAAACCAGTTAGCTTTGAGTTTCCTAGTCCTTACACACTGATGGAATAAAACAAGAAAGGAAGCCCCCCCCAGGTTCCTCCTCTGTAATGGTGCACACTTGAGTATTTATGGGGAAAGTGGGCTGGCCTTCCTTCTGCCTCTCTAGTCGTCCTATTTGGCCTCCTCGGCCGCTTCTCGCCTGCAGTGTCCCTGCTGTTCCCTGGGGGATCCTCTTGCTTCCACAGCCTCAGTCAGCATCTCCAGGCTGATGACTCCCAATACCGCACCTGAACTTCAAACTCAGCTGAACTTTTCATCATCCCCCAACCCACACCCCCTCTTCTTACTTACTTCCCTGTTTTAGTGAAGATTCCAACAGCCATTGTTCCCAAATCAGTGACAGGTGTCATCCAGGACTCCTCCTAAATACTGCCCAGATCGGTTTATTTGGCTTTATCTTCATCGTGACTACCCCAGTTCAAGCCACCTTCACCTCTCACCTGGATGCTTGTGACAGCCCGTGAGCGGTCTCTGCCTCCGGCCTTGTCCTACCAAGGCAGGCATCTTACTAAAATGAAAATCTGATCGCATCACCCTTCTGCTTAAAACCCCCAAAGTATAAACACCTTGACAAAGTATAAAGGTGCTTCGTTACCTGAGACCTTCTCGTGTCTCCAGCCATATAGTCATTCTGTTCCTGTAATACTGTGCAATTAAGAAACAGCAAATCCACCTGCAGTTCCCAGAACACCCACACTCCCTTATCTCTGGTACTGTACATCGCTCACCTCTTTTTACTGGGCTATCCTCCTAGACCCCCATGCCAGAGAGAAGTGCTCCTCCTTGGGCTACCAAAATGCCATCCTACCCCTTGTGATGGCACCTCTCTGAATCAGAATTGCCTGGCACCTTGTCATTCTGTCCCTACAGCTGTCTCTGACCAGGACTTCCCTAGGCCCAAGGTTCTCATGGCTCCCACACCCTCTGGCTATGACCCTGCCGCCAGGAACAGCACTGTGGGTCCGTGGACCAGCAGCTGCAGATTGTCACACTGCCACTAGACCCTCTCCACAGAGGCCATGAGCAAGGGTGAATCCTAGCAGGCCCAGCTCTGAGCCCGCCTCCAGAGGGCACCTTCTCTCCTCCCAGTTCCACCTGAATGCAGCATCTCACCAATTGGCACTCCTGGGGCCCTCTTCCCAGCATATCGTATCTGTCTTGGGTCACTCTGTCCCTTCTCACTCCCCACCAAAGCTCTCTGAGGCCGGTTATGCCCTCTTCTGGGAGATTAAGGAGCCTTTGCCCTTCTCTGCCATCTAGTCTATTTCCAGGAGGCAAGTGCTTTTCCTTTGTGCAAAAATGGTGCCCCTCTGAGCAAACCAACTCTTCAGGCAGAAACACACCTGGGCAACCAGCTCAATGAGGGAAAATGTGTCCCTTCCTCCCGAGTGGACATAGCCCTCAGCCAGGGTGCCCTGCTGGGTGAGCTGAGCACTGGCTGTGTCTCACCCCCCATTCACCTCTTCTGTAATTCATACACTGCACAAATTGTGCCGCCTTGCCTGGGAAGGACCACAGTCCATAATATACAGATGAACAAACTGAGGCTCAGAAAAGATGAGGGCTAGAATGTTACCTCTGGTTTCAGGATCTCCAGGCCCAGCCAGCTCCTCTGACCACCTCCCTGCAGCACTCAGTCCCCATTCCAGCTCGCTGTTGGCTGCCTAAGGTGCTCTCTGGGCCTTTCCCAGAGGGTATACCTATGTCCTTGCAGGAGGGCTGGTGCTGCTATGCCCAGCCTAGTCACAGGGCCCACCCCCAACCAGCAGGGCTCCTCCCTGCCCTAGGAATGGAAAGCTGTTCTCAATTTGTCCTGGGGTTGGTGGGGCCTATAATTCTCTAGAGCAAACAAAGCCAGTCCCAGCTTGGTAGCCCAAACTACCCACTCCCAGGTCCCTTGGATCCCTCCTCTGCCTGACAACTCAGACCTTGTTGCTATTTCTTGCTTATGCACTGTCAGCAAGACCCAAGATAGTGGCTCCAGAAACAAGTCATCCTAATCTGAGTGTGGGCAGCCTGCCCCTGTGGCTGGGGTGGGTGCCCTGAGGCTGGGACAGAGCCACACTCTGGGACCTGGGGCTTGGGTTTCAGTAGGTCACCTTCTTGGGGCTCTGTGGATTGGGGGCAGAATCTGGGGTTGCAGGGGGAGAAGGGAAGAAGCCATGAGGAAGCAGATACTGGAAAAACCAAACATTCCCCAAGCACCCGAAACAGAGCCTGAGCTCCAGGCTAGCAGCTCCCCCAAGATGCCTTCCTGCCTGCATTCACCTGGGGAAGTCTGTGACAATGCAGAACTTCTCTGTCTTCTTTAGAGCAGTCTCATGAAATGAATGCCATATTGTTAAAAGCAAAACTTTGAAGCCAGGCTCCATGAGTTCAAATCCTACCTCTGCCCCTTATCAGATGTGTGATCTCACTTAATCTTCCCATTCCTCAGTTTTCCTATCTGTAACAGGGTTAACACCACATAGGATTGTTGTAAGGATTGAATGGGGGCATATGGAAAGTGTTTTGAGATGGGGTGTCATAGCTCATACCTGTAATCCCAGCACTTTGGGAGGCTGAAGCAGAAAGACTGCTTGAGGCCAGGAGTTCAAGACCAGCTTGGGCAACACTGCAAGACCTCATCTCTACAAAAAATAAAAAAACGTAGCCAGGCATAGTGGTACATGCCTATAGTCCCAGCTACACAAGAAGCTGAAGCAGGATTACCTGAGCCCAGGAGGTCAAGGCTGTGGTGAGCCGTGATCGTATCACTGCACTCCAACCTGGGTAATAGAGTGAGACCCTCTATTAAAAAAAAAAGGGCTTTGCACATGATGTGGTAGGTTCTCAAAAATGCTCACCTGCTACTTGGAACTCCTAGTCTTGGACTAAAAGTTGGCAGTGTTCTCAGTGTTTTGAATGAATAGATGAATGATTAGAAATTGGCTGGCCTATGTAACGTGGTATCCTGGATTAGATGCTAGAACAGAAAAAAGACATGAGTGAGCCGGGCTCGGTGGCTCAGCCTGTAATCCCACACCTTTGGGAGGCTGAGGTGAGTGGATTGCCTGAGCCCGCGGGCTCGAGACCCGCCTGGGCAGCAAGACTTCATCTCTACAATAAATCAAAAAAAAAATTAGCCGGGCATGGTAGCATGCCTGTAGTTCCAGCTACGTGGAAGGCTGAGGCGGAAGGATCACCAGAGCCCAGCAGGTCGAGGCCGCATTGGCCGGGAGCGGCCACTGCACTCCAGTCTGGGCGACAGTGAGACTCCAACTCAAAAAAAAAAAAAAGAGACATGAGTGGAAAAACTGGTGAAATCTGAATAAAGTTTGTGGTTTAGTTACAGCAATGCTAATATAGCAATGTAGCAAGGTTGTGTAAGAAGCTGACATCAGAGTATATAAGAAATGTCTCTGTCATCTTTATAAATCTGTAAATCTAAAATTATTTCAAAATAAAAAAATTAGTTAACAATTACTGACAGGGCACCATGCTAAGTGCTTAGATACAACATTTTTTTCCAGTTTCATCCATGTTGTTTTATTTAGTTATAAAAAACAAATCAAATATAGCAGAATGTCAAGATTTGACCATATTTATGGAGATGTGGGAATATAGATATTTGCTATATATATTTTTCGTAATTTTAATATACTTCATCAATTTAAAAATAAATAAATTGACTGACTTTAAATTAGAAACATCCTACTTTATATTTAGGTTTTGAAACTGTCAAGTCCAATGGATTTAGGTAGTATTCTGAATTAAAACTGCACTATTGTTACTGGCTTCGGGTCTTGACATTGCACATTCACCAGTTA